TGCTGGGTTGGATCATAGTCCAGGCTCCCAGCCATTTTCTTGTCTTGTTGTATATATTAATGTATATTAATGTACCTTCTCAATCTTTTATTGTAAGCACCCTTTGCTCCATCCGACATCTTTTCACACAAACAATACATTTGCATGTATGCATTCCTTCTGCTTAGGGGCGCAGCAGGAGAGACCTCTGCTCCAAAGGGACCTTCAGGACTTTTTTTTTCCCCTCCTACGCTGGTATGAGGTGGCATATAAAAGTGCATTGGCCCGTTGCAGAGATGAGAGCAGGACTGCTCTGCTGAGTCTTAATGGTTTGGGTTAGAAGAATTTACAACCACGTGCAGATTAGGATATAGGATCCTGCCTGTTAATGCATATGTGTTTGTAAACCACCTGCCATGTTTAAACTGAATGAATATACAATCCTTGGAGTAAGATCACTGACTGATTTGGCTCCTTAATTTTCTCAAGTAAATTACTGTCTCTAGCTCAAACTGTGAAACTGGCAAACGGCATTAACGAAAGCCTGACACTCCTTCTCACGCAAATCTGGAAAACTCCTGTCCTCTCCAAATAGGTGGACACTGCTGTATCTAAGATAATGAAAATCTATCATGTTCCAGTATAGATCACACACACGTCTATCCTGCTGTTGATCCATCTGCACTCTGCATTGTAAGCCACTTGCACCTCTCACTGAAGGTCCTTGGGGTAGAATTCATTACAAAGGATGGTAACTATAAAGAGCATGTACTATGATTAGCTTTACAATAAATATAAATTCTGTATCAAAAAATTACATTTTGAACGTGCTTCTTACAATATATTTTGTGAAGTAGCAAGGAGTAAATAATGGGTAATTCAGAATGTGGTTAAAAAAAATCATTAGTACATTACCACTTCCTGGTTCATCTCTGTCATCATGTAAAAGTTGTCTTGAATATCTTGGGGGAAAACATTTAGTTTGTTCAACCCAGTCAAACTTACAATTTACCCTACAGTGTTTAACACCAAAAATGCCTGTAGGGGCTGGTAGTGTTGGGGAAGGGGGGGTGTAATAATAAATATTTTCTCTTTGAGCCTCTTTTAATATACTCTGACTATATTAAGTAGACTAGTTCAAAAATTATTTCAGACACAAGGTATGTGGAAATTGCCAACTTGTTTTGCAACAGCAATAGAGTCTTTATGCTCTGATTCAAAACATACCAGACAAGGTAACTTACGATCTTGTTCTCCAAGAGCCTTTCAGAACTCATGTAAGCAAGCAGGCAATGAGCTTTCTGGAGTTTGCCCTCTGGTTAGCTACACAGCTAGCAAGCCTGGGATTTCAAAGGGGTCTAGACTCCATGGCTACAGAGCAGGAGGCAGAAAGACCCAGGAAGTTATCCATGAGCTTGGATGCCTTTGATCTGATACTCCTATGTGACATTTAGGAAATTGCAATATATTAAGTTATTAATAAAACTGTAATGATAATTTTTGGAGATTCTATATGTGCTTACAAAAAAAAAAAATCTCCTTTCGTTTACCTCCCGGTTCTTTTCAGAATTTTACATGGAAAGAATATTATGACTTTGGATGGTGTCTATCCCGAGGTAGTTATGGATTATTAACAACAATTAACTTAATTATTTGAATGAGGTGAAAACAGGTAATAGCACGTTACTACTCATTTAGGCTTTGATTCACAAAGCACTTGCTCATATGTATTTGGTTGATGTTTGGTTGGATATTAGAGCTCCCACCTCATGGCTGTAGGTGCTATAATATCTGTTCAATAATGGAATTAAACCTCTAACAGTAAAGACACGCGTCTTGTATTCATGAATAAACTGAGGGTGGGGAAACCTTTCTTGACTTCTCACTAACTCTTTTTATAGCTCCACATGAATGTGGAACAGAAGGGGTGACAGAATGGCTCCCCGCAGCACCCCACACTTCAGAACTTACCAGGAACAGGAGCAGCGATCGCAACACTCTATCAGGGTCTCTTGGAGAAAATAGAGCAGGTGTCAATGAGGTTCCCACAAGTTTTCAGTAGCCTCTCTCAATGCAAAGTATAGCGGAGCTGAGGTAATCTTTGTAGTGTTATCAAGAAGTAACACAGCAATATGTATTACGTATTCAGGGAAACTGTAATAATGGTGACTGCAGCTGTATTCAACCTGACAGACCCGGTTTTGTGCATTAGCACGGTCATTCGTATCCTACTGCGTTGGAAAGATGAAGCCAGCTATAGAAGATTAATCCTGGATCTCCCTCTGCAAAAGTTAGGCATGCTTCTGTGGTTAAATGTAGTGGTCTTTTACCTCAGCATCTAAGATCAGGGGTGAGCTTAGTAGAAAACCTGCCTGATCTAGGTGACTGAACAGCAGTTTCCGATTTTGCAAACTCCTGTGTTCCAATAACTCTTTGTGTCTACACACTAGTTATGGTCATTCCTTCCATCACAGTGTTAGCTGTCTAAGAGCTGAGTATCTTAGCTGATCATTGGCCATCCTTTCTGGCAGTGAGGAGTGTCTGATGCTTCCAGCGGAACATTCATCTCGCTTCTGTCGGGGTCTGTGTTAGACCTACTTACAAACCCATTCCCAGTGAACAATTTTCAGGAGGCAATGAAGTAGGAGCAGAAGTACAAAGAAAAAAAAGCCCTCTGCTTCACCCTTCCCCCCTCTACTTTCTTGAAGTAAGGATCTTAAAGACTGCTTGAAACAATACTGAGTAAAGTGCTTCCAGGCATACGACTCCTAAGTTCATTGCATTCGTTTGGATTCTACTGCCAAGTGTCCTTACGTATTTGAATGCTACTTTAGCTCCCTTAGGACCAGAGAATTCCAAACGCAAGGCTTACTGTTTGCACCAGTGCGACTTATATTGCCTTTTCTACATGCATACTTTTCCGGTATGCAAGGCTAAATTGTCCTTCAGCAAAATGAGATTAATGTAGAAATGTTAGAGCTCTGTATGCAATCCCTCGCTGAGTGTCAGCCATGCAGCCTAAGTTGTTCGGGTGGAAAACATCTTGGGAGGACAAAGCTGCAGTGCTAAAATTGAGTGTTGTCTGTTAAGGCTTGAGGACGGGATAAGCACGCTTTATGTAAATATATCAAAGCCACCTGCTAGAAATCATTTTGGCAGTGCAATGTTCCAAGGGTTCTGTGCTTGTTGGGTCTGAAGATAAATATCATGTTGCATTTCATAGCTCGTATGCGGTACCATCAGTGGTTCAGTTCCAAGCTCAAAGAAGGTTTGCAAAATGGTGTCTCCTCTAGCAGCCTGAAAACACTGTAGGAATCTGAGGCTTTAAGAATATTCTGTAGCTATTAGGGAAATCCAAAATTTCAGTCTAAGAGAGTTTATCAAAAAATGAATAAAACAGAATTTGACTCAATTTTTAAAGACCTTTCACAAATTCTCAGAGGTGGATTGATGATAGCTGCAGCATAAAAGAATGTAATAAGACTTTATTCACTGTCACATATGTATTTCCATAGTTCTCAAAAATTTTGTTGAGCATCTTTTTTGTGACAAAACTGACTCACTCTGTCTTCGCGACTCTGTCTGCAGCAGAGTTCAGATAGTTTCTGAAAAACAGGAAGTTTTTCAAGCAGCTGAAAATCTGGCCTCCTTATGAATACAAGAGAACATAACAATATACGTGTCACCTCAGAGGTACAGTTAATTAAGGGTTCCTGCAAAAAGTTTTTATATTTGTTTACTTGTAATAATTAGTATCTTGAGTCCTCCTTTATTACAAGGGTCCCTCATGCATACTTTACAACTTACTCCGACACAGTCAGACAGTTTATATTTTTAACTTTTTTTTTTTTTTTAAGCTGTATTACATTAAAAATTCTGATTTTTCCCTTTGTTTTTTCCTGAACTAGATGTGGGAGCAGCGTACAGGGAGAGTGACTTTTTTTTAGCCATCAGCATTTTGACCCTCCACTGTGTCTGCCCACTCAGTAAAGTAAATTAGAGTGGGCAGCATATGCAACAATACAGCTGAGATTGGCCAGTATGCAGAATGCCATGAGAAACCTTTACTGCATTTCTCTTATCTATAAAAGAGCCCAGATAGAAGAGGTGTTAAAACTCCTGACCCTAAGATAAAGCTGTGACATAAACTGGCAGTAGATGGAAAGTATTGTCTACTTTGTCCATTGACATACCATCAGTAGGTTAAAATTGTCTGCTCATGTAGAGCATCATGTTTTTTCTACAGTTTTAGTTTGGTTTTGTGGGCTTTTACTGTTTGTTTGTTTCTAAGTACTGTATAGAGCTGGGATATCTAAATAGAGTCAACCCTTGTGTGCATTCTACAATATTTTGATGCAAATGATTACCTTTAAATAGTGCGTTGACGTATAGTGACTTGATTTCCTACCTATTGACTCCACTGGGAGTTTTGAAATGCATCGATTCCTGTGGATGCCAAGACACATGCCCTGATTTTGTGCGTAGCAATACAATGAGCAACATTATGAGTGTCAGTGTTGTCTGTAGAGACACACTAAATGACTGGATTAGAACAGACACATCTGCTTATAAACTGTTGAAAAGGACCTGGTAACTTCAACTGCTTAAAATATATTTGGACCATCTAAGATATGAACCTACCGTTCATATCTTTCAGTTTGCACAAAGGATTGAATAAAGCTTATAAGCAGCCTATAAAAATGTTTCCTTATTCCTGTACGGGAGTAATTTTTGGTTTATAGTTTCAAGACCAAAAGTCAATCCCTAGTTTTTTATCCCAGAGCAAATGTTTACAGCAGAGATACTAAACACTTGAAAATAGAGTAGCTTATAATGGAAGCAACAGCTCATCTTTAACTTTGGAAGGACAAGCAGTACAAATTTAATTAAAGCTGTGTTAAAATAGGACTGTCATTTGTATCCCAGTGATCCTCCACCCCTCCAAGAAGTCCTGCTGCCATTTTGTACCACACATTCTTGTCTTGTGCAAATTAATAGATCGTTTTATTTTCCGCAGGAAATCTGAAGACTTTTATAGCAAATCCTCCAGTGTCAAAATGAACACAGGTATGCTGCTTCTGTGAGATTTTTTCTTTACTCTTCTGTGTTATTCAGTAAGCAGAGAGGGTCCCAAATTGATTTAAATATTCATGAACGAATAGTACTTTAGTTGGTGCTGAACTCAAATTAAGCAAGATGTTTCAGTAGTATGTCTGCTTATGTGTATTTGTATTCCATATATAAAATTTACATACATGTTTTTCTATGTATGGGTATATATGGACCTGTGAAATATACGTGCATGCTTAGCTTTCTGTGCTTAAGTTTACAAGTATCAGTTTTTTATGTGTATGTTTTACGTAAAAATGTGTAGTATGAGGATGTAACAGCTGTGGAAAAGTGGTTACAAGTCATCACATTTTCCTAAAAAAATGCACATGCTTTAAAAATGCTTTGTTTTCATTCTCTACTGTCATTAAATTATGGGCCACAGAAATACTACCTTGTATTATTAGCTACACTTGCATTGTCAGATGAGAATAACTATTTCATTCTTAGAGGGATTTGTGTTTTCCTTCAAGTTGCTGTGGTAGACCTGTTGGCCAAGTGAAGTCCCTGTGGAGTACTCTATAGGAAGTTATCTTCACAGTCTGTGACAATCTACTAGTGTTTGCTCCTTAATCACTGAAGTCAGTAGATAGTGCTGCTGTTTTTGCTGGAAGTGGGAATATGTCTCTTGAATGCAGAGTGGTGGAATCCTGGCCTGACTTGCATCAGCTGTAAATTTTCAATTGCAGTCAACTATGCTCCATAGGCGAACTATCTGGATTAACGGTGGCACAAGGATAGATGTATCCATCCCTTCCAAACAGTTGGTTTTATTGTTGACTGTAGTGCTGCACCATGGCAACTGACGTGACAACTTTAAATAAGCAAAATCTGTTATGTGGGACCTGAGGACCTGAATTACCTTTGAAGCCAGTTTGTGTGTTTCAGCAACGCACCCCGAATCAAAGGGATTAGCTTTTCCGTGGCACAGGTTGCCATTATCTAGACCATATTACTCAGGCTTCCTTGCCTCCCGTTGTCTCAGACAGCGACTGCAACTCAGTCGCTGGGTTCTAGGACAAGTTTTTAAATGCAAGCTTAAAATATGTTGGCTTACTTGAAACCACAACATATGTAAATATAATAAATGGGAGAAATGAAATTTCTTGGTTGAATTTGTGGGTTTTTTCCCTAAGTTTTGTTTTTTCTCAATTACTTACAGATGCTAATCAGGGTGATGTGTTTTTCATTTATGGAAATACTATTTGAAATTTGTCCTATCCTTTTGCATTTTAAGAAAGGACATGTTTCCTAAACATGTCAGTCAGTATAATTAAGGTGGTACTGAAATATTGCTTGCTTCCTAGAACTCTAATTTCAGAAGTTACTCAGCTAATCATCATACATTTGGCTATGATTACGTTGTGCATTGGAATCATATGAGTTACAATCATATGATAGATGTAATTTTATAGCTTCTACTTTAAAAAGTGTGGATAGGGCGGTAAACTGCCAGTTTATGCCACTGCAGCTCTGAAGTATGACTTTGTTCTCTGTTGTACTAAGATTTTTCATGTAAACTAGAAATTCTCAAGAGAAATAGACATATGATTTAAGTAATCTACGTGGCTAAATGACTTCTGTTGGAGATTGGTAGTCTTCTGATCACACAGGAGCCTTGAAAACAGACTCAAAAGACCTGAAGACACCTGAAATCCTTTCCAGTTACGTAAGGATAGCATGATTGTAAGCTGAACTTTACTTGCACAGGGAAAACATTTTTCATCTTGCGTATGCTTTGATAGTAATGTGCATGTTACCAGCTGCATTAAAAAGAGGTATTGACACAAAAATGTGGTATTTCCTATCAGTTCTGTTGATGTAGATTGTTTCCCGACTGGAAAAAAAAAAAAAAAAAAAAAAATCTTGTGCATAGGGTGTAAAAACAAACATCTTGGAACTATCTGTTGAAAAAGCATCACTTTACTAAGGAGGAGAGTGACTGTGGTGGAAGCTGTTTTGCATGGTGTTCTGGTCTAGATTCTTCTTTCTCTTATGAAAGAAAAAATTGTGCATGATGCAGTTAGAGGTTATCAGATACTATCGATTGGCCTCTAGTTTGTTTTAAAATATGCATTTCATTAATTACTCCTGCAGATGAATGGGCACTCTCGTTCGATGGCAGTAACTGCTGAAGTGGCAAAGCTAGCGTATATGCAGCTTTAAAAAGAAAAAGTAAATCTACTGCTTACAGTGGGCTCCTCTAATCCAGTGTTCCCTGTGGCTGCAGACTTGGCAGTCTGTCTCAGTGAACCCTGCGGAAGATATTTTTGTCTACAGAGAAAATGTTTTGAAGAGCTTTGGTTTTCAATACTCTGCCATATATGGGAGGGATTTTTTAGCATTTGATGTTAATTCTGTACCACATGTTAGGAAGGAACATTCAACAGCATAAGGCAATTAAACATGTTTGCAAAAGCAAAGAAATAGACGTAAGATGTAGGGGAGGTTTTCAGAAGTACCAAGGGTAATTTGGCTTATAGTTTCTTTTCGTGTTCAAATGTTGTCATAATTTAAAAATAGTAGTCTAATAGAATGTGTACCTTTTTAAACCCAGACGAAGCAATCAGCAACAGAATAATATTTTAAACTATATATAGGGGGTTTCATCAGCAAGTCTTCAAGTATTTCACTTATTTGATGAACATCATTAACTTGGTGAGACATTTTGAGAAACTAAGTCACAGAAAACCCGAACCACCGGTGAAGCTTGCATCAGATGAAAACACAGGTTAAATGTGCTTATTGTTTGTTCTACGTATGTGCATGCATAGCTGAGAGGTAATCGCATCGAGGAATAATGAATGGATACAAGTCAATATGCTAAACCAGATTTTTAGTGTCCGTTTGCAAATATTTTGAGTGAGTTTCACACAGATAATTCTTGATAAATGCATCTCACTTTAAAATTATTAAACAAGTTAACTATTTGCAGGAGATGAAGCACATAAAGAGCAGCCAAATATGAAAAAGTATGCAGACCTGGAAGACTTCAAATATTTTGTGTTTGTTAAAATTATTAATGGAAGTCATCACACGAACTGATCTCTTACATTTTGTCTGGGAGACAAGAACAGAAACTCTTGGGTCCCTGCAGAGTTCCTGAATAGATTGTGAAACCGCTTTTAGATCACTAAAGCAGATTAGGTGGGGTTGAGTGTTTCAGGCATTCTATTAAAAAATTATTTTTAAATCATTATTTGCTGTAATTTAGCAGCATCAAAGAACCAAGTATCAGTACATTCACCTGTGTTGTCAATGTTAGGTATGTAGGGCTTACAAAAGAATATCTGGGCACCAACGTGCTACGTCCTGATCTGAGCTGGACTTGCGTTTTAGGCAGCTGTTTTGATTGTGAATTATTGCCCAGATTCATATCCTGTTACTTCTTGCAGGCCTTAGCTGATTCAGGACTTCTTTGCTTCAGTGTTAAAACGATGCCTAGGAAGACAGGAATCTTGCTCCTGAAGCATTTGTGATGTCAAAAGATCAGAGAACCGTGCATATGTGTACACGTATTCGCACACATTTAATTATTTCTATATTTGTGTGCATTTTGTATTGATTGTTTCACATATCCTCGTTTTGTTCCTTGAGTAACAGCTGTGAAATATTAACTGCTTATAGTTTGCAAGTGAAATGAGCATATTATCATAAATTCACCCACCCTTAATGTTTTTGAAATCTCTGTTCTCTAGAAAGAGCTTTTTGGTGTTATTTGGACAAAGAATCTGGGTGAATATAGTTAATATTTGCTGGAAATGGGATGCAGTTATGAAAAAGGAATACAGGCTGGAATAACCCTCTTGAGATTCAACTGTGTAAGGCCATGCAGATAAAGGAAGCTATGTGAAAACTGTCTCTTTTGAGGCAGTTGTGCAGATTCTTCTGATCCTCTTGCAGATATGATGCCCTTGACTTAATGGGAGACAGGTCTGAACAAAGATGGGAAGATGGAGTCCATCATGCGTAAAGAAGTGCTTGCCCATGCACATTTGTAATTTATTAGAAATTTTGCACAACTCAGTATGGTATATTTGTGCAGTTATGTATCAAAAATCAATTTGAAGCCGAATTTCTTGAATTTACGAAGATTAAATATTTGTAGTCAGTTTTCTCATTGTCTTGCTTTCCTCCCACTTCAGTTTTTCTATCCTGAAATTCAGGAAGGTAGTTCTTGGAAAAAATACACAAAAAGCATTTATTTGAATAAAAGACGTGACAGTATAACAAAATTGTTTGCCTGTTAGCTTGTATTAATCACATAAAGTATGCTGTCAAAGTCTGCCAATATTCAGGTAAGAACAGAACCTCAGTATCAACACACCATCAAATCTCCCTGGAATTACTGCTGCTGTATGTCAGGGAGGGAATACAAGAATGGAAAATGTGATTTTTATTACCAATTCCATTCTGTATTTCTGTAAGCAAACTAAAACAAATGTGCACATTTCATAGCCTTTGTCTTAATTTCACATATACAACACCAGTAATTAATTGTGGATAATGTATTGCTTTCAACTATTGCTGGCTGAACTCATTTGACCTCTTACCTTGAGATTTGGACTTGGCAGTGAGTCTTTGGAACCACTTACACCTGGGGCAGCGGCTCTGATGTTTGCCAACGTTAACAACTACTTAGTGCATATCCTGCAAGAGCTGTGGCCAGAGGGCCCTGCTATTTCAGGGGAATATTGGAATGAGCAAAGAAATACCAGGAGCTCACTTCTCTTGCAGATGTGGGTTAAAGATGTCTCTGTGGCTCCAATTACTGCTGTCATAGCAAATACCTTCTACTAATAAGTTGCAAGTCATCCTTAAGCATAATTTTATAAAACTCCATCATAGGACATAGATATAAAAAATCTTAGGGCTTCTATTGTAGTTGTGGTTCTTTTTGACTTCAGTAGGGCCCAGTATGAAATGTCAGTAATATCAAAAATAAAAAATAAAATAATTATTACATTCACAGAACGGTTTGGGTTGGAAGGGACCTTAAAGACCATCCAGTTCCAACCCCCCTGCCATGGGCAGGGACACCTTCCACTAGACCAGGTTGCTCAAAGCCTCATCCAGCCTGGCTTTGGACACTTCCAGGGATGGGGCATCCACAGCTGCTCTGGGCAACCTGTCCCAGTGCTTCACCACCCTCTCTGGGAAGAACTTCATATTGAAGAGCAGAATAATATCCTAGTTAAATATAATAAAGAAAAATATTTATTATATTGCTTTTACAACTGTGATAGAGTTGCTAAAAAGTTAAGTTGTGAGAAAGCTACCTTCTAATAACAACAAATTATTTATAAAACAGACTGACAGCTCTGAGTGAGAGAGAAGCTGAGACTAAGGAAAAGGAAGGAGTCATGCAAGATCCAGAAGAAAGGTTTTTCCATTCCTCATTGTTTGGAGTGATGTGAGATTTCTAATCTTTCCCTCAGGATGTTGCTGGGTTTCAGACATACAATTTTTTCATCTTCCATTAGCTAAAAAAGAGAGGGAAGGGAGAACAAGGAAGTTCTAACAAAACAACAAAAAAAATTATGCCATCCCTTGTAATTTTCTTCCTTGATCTTCCAGGATTCAAAAGACTAAACAAAAGCCCTTTGTCAGCTGATCAAACATAAGCTTTGTTTATGAATGGTGTCTTTCTAATGCACACAATGAAATGATTTTACAGTGCAGATTATTGATTTATATTGCTCTGGAATGTTCAATCCTTCATCTTGATTACTTGTTTGTTTTCATTAATTAGCTATAATTAAGCAGCCTTTCAGGTAACAGAATGTATATATTTCTCTAGTGGATTAAGTATTAAATATTGCTTACTTTACTTACTTTCTGTGAGGTTCCCAGGTGCTTAAAGCCTGTGAAATCTTATGTATTCTGCTAATCTGCAAAACCTGCAATTTACACGTTCCTGCAGCAGTTCCCTAACGGCATGCTCATGTACGTGGATGTTTGGTGTATCTCACACTGTGATACATTGCATGTGCTTGCTCCCTTTGTCTGGGGCTGCTGTCTATTGTTTTGTGCTTCCAGATAGCGGTGGGTGTGCTCGCAAACGTGCTGCAATGTCTGTCACATTAACAGCTGTGAAGAGAGTTCAGAGTTCTCCAAACCTGTTGGCCTCAGGTATAACCGCTAACAAGTGAGATACTGCTCCTGAATGGCTTTTCTCTAGCGTTACGCACTCCTGCAACGTTACTCTGCGGGGAAGAGAAGGGTAACCGTATTTTCTATTCCACTGACAGGTCTGTTTCTTACTTCTACAAAGCTGCTTTAAAAAGTAGTCTTATTTCTCTCTGCCTCTGCTTAGTAGCCATTAATGAAAAAAAAAAAATTAGGAAGACTTACGAAAATTCAGTTATTTATAAATTAATTTTGCCTTTGATACATGTTTTGGGTCTCATATCCCCAGTTTTGTTCAAGATTATATAGCATGAAAAGTAGGTTTTATTTATTACAACTTGATTTATAAACTTTTCTCCAGGAAAAGAATCTGAATGTTGTAAAATGATCATCAAAAGCCAGATTAACTTTTAAAACATCATTTATCGAGCAGGTTTTCCTAAAAATATTTGAAACAATAAAAACATGCAGAATATTCAGCAGACAGGCAGAGCTGCTTCTCAGCAATACTCATGTCTGGTTTTGCAAAACTAAACCTTAATGGGTATCAGCTGCCCAAGTTTAAGGAGTTGTAGATATAAATCAGTAAAGAATCTTGAGTGGTGTAAAAATGTGTGCCAATCTGAACATGGAGTGCTTACACCAAACAAGAATAATGCAGGCAGCTGAATAAAGAATGAGCCAGAAAATAATTGCAAGGAGAAGTCTTTGTTTTATAGATCTTTTCAAATAGAGGACTAACACCCAGGAAAAAGAACTGTTAGAATTTATGAAGCAAAATAAAAATGTGGTTGCTACACTTTATAAGGATAGTGGAAGGGTTATTGGGTTATTCCTGCATATATTTAAATTTGAGAAAACATTGGGTTCTTATTTCTCAGCAGTCTTTCCAACAGATTTTTATCATTTAAGCATGCAGTACAAGCCTCTTAATGCCTTGCTTGGTTGCACTTAAAATTGGGGATAAGGAGTGCTCTAAGTACTACAATTATTTTTTAATAAAATACTTTTAATTTGTTTAGTGATATCACAATTTTAGTTTCCTTAGGAGAAAAAGCACTAATATATCTACAAGTAAGCAAAAAAAAAAAACCCACCAGAATTTCAGATCTGTTCTGTACTGGCAGTATGTATGTATCAGTTTCTGTGTTTTGCTTTGAAGTGATGAAGAAAGCATCACACATTCTGGTGTGAAGGGGGAGAGAAAACCCTGACAGAATCTGTAGGCATCTTTCTTGGGTTTGAATTAAACCTTTCCAGCTCATCTTAAAGCAATGTTATTTCTTTTGATATCTAGATTTTTGATGGTAGCATATCACAGTATTTACTGGAAAAAACCCCACAGCAAATGTTTATTATTGGCTATTTGAAATAACAGTGATTAAATAACAGTAACTCTCAGCATACTACAACCTCCTGTAGAATTTGAGCAATAAACATTGCAGTTACCTATGGCCTAATATTCTGAGGTGTGCCTAGGAATTAGGGAATTAGGTAGCTGAAGAAAAAGATTGCTACATGTTTTTCAAGGTGTGTCATTGTGTTTGTATTCCTAACACAAATTAATGTTGGATGTTTCTTTTTCAGGGTCTGATTCTCACTCTCCAGATTCAGGTAAATAAGCGCTGTGTTATTTATGTATCATTGTAATACCGTGTAAGTGGATGGATTATAACAATACTCCATTAATAAGCTATCTCATTACTCCATACATCCACATTCTTTAAGGAAAGCACCACTGAAATTGTAAAAATACTTGCAAGTGGTTAAGACCTCAAATTCAGGTCTCATTTAAAAGCAGTACTTCCTGTAACACAGTATGTGTTGTCAGAAAATGAATTGTGTGGGAGAACACAGACTGCTAATTTGCCACCTTTAGCTTCAGTGGCACTTGCTATTTCATTTTTAGTCCCTTACTCAGGATTGCAAGTTCTGCCCACCCCACCAAGCTGTCTGCTCACATAATGTGTTACTTTTTTCCTGGCCTCTTACAATATTTTGACTTCAAATCTGCAACTTGTTGAGGTGGGATAGTATCTCCCTCTATGTTGGGACAATGGCTTGAGTGCTTTTCAGCTCTGAGGACAGAGACAGAACACGGTTGGTTGGTTGGAAAATCGAGGTGTCATTCAGGTTTGGAAATAAGATGCATTATTGGGACAACTAATCGGGTATTGTGGTGAAATTTGGTGGAACTACCATAACGAACTAACTTCACGTGAGCTGGGATGTTTTCCAAAATCCAATGCAGCTGTGAAGTTCAAAAACCTCGTCTATGAAACTACTTGAGCCTGCTTTATACAGGGACTGAAGCACCAATATCTCAAAAGGACTCCCGAGGTCAAAACCCAGAGTCTGTATGAATGTTGTGGGGAGGTGCCCAACTGTTATCAGCAATATTGCCAATGCTTGAGTTTTCTAAATTTTGTAAAGTGTAAGTTTTAACCCTGTTCTTGTAACTTCCACGGCAATAGCAGCAGCAACATCAGTCGTGTAGTAGCTAAAGTGCTCCAGTCGGTTTAATAGCTGGGTAGCTGTGGTGCTAGCAATATAGAAATCTACTAATCCCAAAAACCAAGAAATATTTTATTCATTTTTTTCCCCTCACAAAAGCTTGGAGATCTTACAACGATGGAAGTAGAGAGACACTGAATGGAGATGCTAGCAGTTCATCCCTTACAGCAAAAGGTTTTAGGAGCGTGCGACCAAATCTTCAGGATAAAAAATCACCACCTCAGGTAAAACTGAACACACCAAGTTTCATGCTGTGGCATTTGTGTGTGGTTTATTCTTGGGGGATAGCATATGTAGATGGGACACCCCTTTGATCTTTGTCCTGATGTCTTCCAGATAGTGGTAATCACCTGTTCATAAGGGTCCTTACAAACTTTTACTGCATAGATAAAGTATACTCCACACAGGATGCATGGCTCCAGGTTAATTACCAGAAATTGCTTTCCATGAACAAGGCAGCCAGCTAAATAAAAGTAGGTCATACACAAATAAAAGCTTTCTAGGAGTGTTCTCAGACTTCAAAGAGTACTTATTAATATTTTACTATCAGAGAAATACATCGGTCATCAAAATAATATCTGAGGATAAAAGTGTAGTAATTATAAGATAGACAATGTTTCTGCCTGTTGTGCAGAACAATTAGAGCACACTAAAAAAGTCACTTAATTTGGAAACCATTTGTCTGTCCAAAAAAGATCAAGATACCAATGCCAATTCTGACTCTCTTACTATTTTAATTCAAAGGTTTAAGAGGCTCTGTGTGTTTTATATTTGTGTTACCTGTGAATAATAGCTTGTTGTCTAAGATCAAGGAGTACCTTTTGGAAATTATATATCGGAACAATTTCACAGTGATAATTCTTATACCGTGTAACAATTGGGTTTTTTAAAAGAAATTGGACTATTGTGGACTCCCTTCTGATCCCAGTTTACTGTGAGCAAAACATCTGGCTTTCTAAACACAAGCTGTACAGCCCTGCACAGCAAAAGGTGGTGGGCACCTGACCAGTTCAATTGCCCGTTGAATTGAGCAGTGTTGGGATGAAGCCCCTTAAGATGCTAGTTCCTTTAAATAAAGATAAAAATCAAACTGAGTTATATTTCCTGCTAACGTTTACTTTCTTTCTGTTTCTTCTTCAATGTTATTTTGCTGTGTGTGGATGCTTTTGGCAAATAAGGCACCTCTGCCACCCCCTAGAAAAGAAAGTTTTTGGAAAGCAAGTGTAACTAATCACGAGAACAAAATTAATCTCCAGGCAGTAACAACCGGTCCATCTAAACACCCCCCTGCAGATACTGCCTATTACACTAACGAGAAGTCTGTCCAGGAGACAACGTCTTCTCAAATGTCTAACACAAGTGTTTGCTATGCACAAAAAATCACTAAACCACTGACCTCAACCTCCGGTGCAGGCACAGGCACAGTAGCTGGTATTAGTACTACTCTCCATCAAGGCCAAAGGCAACAGTCTCAAAAACGTAGAGTATCTACCCTGAAATTAACCCGGACACGTGACCCAGCGAGTAGCGTTTGTTGTAATACACGGCAACAGCTCCAGCCTGTTGAAGTGCCAGTATTTCCACAAAGGCCTGTCTCACCTGCCTGTAACCCCGTGCCTGAGATACACACAGCATCTCTTTCCGTTCAGATAGCTCCCACCCCTGACACTAAAGCAGAGCCTGAAATCCAAGAACATCCACCTAGTATTTCTCCAGACACTTCAAAGATGTCTTCAAAGGATTTGGGACAAATGTCTACAGCTCTTCCTTCTTCACAGGCTGCAGAATGTCATGTGGTATATTTAATTTTTCCACCTTTTATTTTAGATAATTCGTGAATCACTTAATAACCCTCTGTTTAGTTATACTTTTGAAGTTAGACCTTCTGTTTTCTGGGTAAAACTACCTGTCACATGGATCAAAACAGAACTGAACAGAACCAGAAGTTTTTCGAAGGGTATATTTAAAACAAAACCCAAAACAAAACCAGCTGAGCTGGAAGGTAGACTTCTTTGTTTCTTTGTGAGCATTTCATAGAGTGCAAATGCACAGTAGGAAATCAGTGAATTGTAGGTGATGCATCTGCCTAAGTGGCTCTTCCTAGAGGGGGTTGTATTAAAGCGTTATGCTGCCATAGCTGCTGGAAGGATCAAGTATGGATAGAAAAGGGTTGGGTTGGGGGGCGGGGTTCTACAAATGTAGCTCTGCCAGTTTGCTAAGATCACCAAAAATATATATTTTCTCAGTCGGCATTTCTGCAAGGCTAGTCACAGCTGTCTCCCTACATGTCCTGTGCCATAGCGCTTTTCAATGAAAATGAGTTGATAAAATCTTTTGTCAGCCACCTCTACATGAAACATCACAGGGCACTGAACTCTGAAGTCCTTCTGTTTCCACAATACCCTATGCCTACTGAGATGAAAATTCTCTGTTAATTTTATTGATCTCCTCCAGGAGAAGTTGGAGTATCAAGCAAACAGTACAGGACCAGAGGAGTCCAAGCAGGGGTTTTTGCCATTCAGAAAGATACTGAGTCAAATAAGCCTGGGAGCAATAAAGCAGCAGTGAATACATACTAGGCAGAAGAAGAGCTCTGAATAAACTTGTAATTTCTACTCTGCTTTACCTAATCATGTTAAGATTTTTTTATTTTAACAGGTAATTAATTATTCTAGGATATCTACAAATGTACCAGCTTATCTGAGTTTGAAAGCCCTTCACTTGGCAGTAGGGATTGCTAGAGGTCTAGCCACGTCTGCCTGAAAGCTTTGTCTGAGAGAGGGTCCCATTATGGTGTGTTTTTGTTCAGCCAGTTCTGCTGAAATCGGTGGGGCTACTCTGAAGTAAATACGGCACAATCTCGCAAATTTGAAGTCCACTGACAGCCCTATTGTCCATAGTAGTAACACATCTGTTCTTTCAGAGATTCACATTCAGCCACGTCTTTACTCTGGAAGCCACAAATATCTGCATTAGCTACAGGATAGTTTTACAAGTTGAAATATGTCGATTCCCTCCTTCAGCTCCCAAGTAAAATTTTTCATCGGGACAAAGCTCTGTGAAATTATATGGCAAAAACCTGCAGTGATCCTTTTGATTTCACTCTTTTAACAAATGGGAGCACACAAGAATTAATCACATTTGTCCTTCTCAAGATTAGAGGCAAAACTATCATCTTAACCCCTTCTATTAGGCTACATAAACTTTAGGCATTTGGAGAGAAAACAAGTTGCTTTACCCATGAGAAGTACCAGTTTGCTTCTTGGTGATTTTTGTCAAGTAGAATGAGTCAGTTCCAGCAACGGTAAAGAAATGATGTCGGAAACTAATGAAGGCTGAGCAAGAGCTTTTTCTGGTAGATAGAGTAGGTATGAAGATTATAGGAGGTAGGCTTGCAAGCCTTTTAAACGTGGGCATCAGTGGATACAGTCAGACAGTAGAACAGGTGTAGGTGTAGCTAATAAAATTTATGTGTCTATGTTCTCACTTAAAAACAGTTTTTCAGCCTGTTAGCCATATGATGCATTACATATGCTCAGATAAATCAGCGTGTCTCTCACACAGAAAGTAGTTTTATGATGGCTAGCAAGAATTAGGGGAAATACCTTTTTTTATGATCCAGAATAAAACTCTAATCAGAATGACTAAAAGTAATTTATTTCCTAGCTACTGGGGTTGTGGTTTGGTGGGTTTTTTTGGGTTGGGGTTTTTTTTTTTTTTAGAATCTGAAAATTCAAAACACATTTTGCAATTTCTTTTTATTTTAGAATCTGGATTAGTTTCACTATAAACCAACAAAAGTCAGAAGAGTAGCTGTGACTTGTTTGGCAAACCTACACTTACTTTTCTGCTTTCTCCTTGGTTTCAGTGTGTGGGAAGAATGATCAAAAATTTGGCAACTGAATTCCTTTGAGACTAAAATGATAAAAATTTCAGTTGATCACAGGGATCATTAAGGAATGCAGCCAGCTTTTCAAACTGCAAGCGTTTATTGATCTCTTGCCTGCAAAATTCAGCTGACATCCACCCTGGTGTTCAACTTTGACATAAATTCTAAACATTAGTGTGAAGAGGTGTATCTGGCATCACCATCAAGTCATGGGGCCAGTGGGTTTTGCTAGTTCTGTGTTTAAAATACATACCTAAAACTAGAATACAAATCAGCGGTGCAAAATTCTGCATCAGGTGAGGTCCCAAAGCCAGGAGGCCCTGGGCTACAGTTAGAAATGAAGGCCTCAGCTACATGTTTAAAAAGATTTATTTTCTGACTCAGAGCTGTGGTTGAAATCTTGGAACTGTTCTAACTAATGGCAGAAATGATCATCCCCTTTAGTGCTATGTTTCACGGTACTTGAAAAGTTCACAATTTTTCTCCCATGGACAAATTAACTTTCAGTATACTATGCGTGATAGTCCTTTGATTTTAAAAATTACTTTAGATTTGCAAGCTCTACAGGACTCTCTACATCAGTTAAAATGCTTTTGCATATGCAGATCATAGGGGGTTATGTTAAGCTATGTGCTCTAGGGAAGTTCTCAGTCTGTAGATTAGGCCCACCAACACTGTTCAAAGCTGCCAGAGAAACTCAAAACCCAAATACGTTCCAAAAGGCACTGTAAAAACAAACGACTCTGCCTCTGCATGTGGGTTTATGTATGTGGAGGAGAATGAGGCACCTCTTCTTATGAGGTGGTGAATGAGAAATACTGTGCATGTGTGTAGAGTACATGTACAAATATAGTATGTCACAAAGTGTGGAAAAATTCAACCAAGAGAGAGCTTACATGGTCCAAGTTCATGCACAACCGTTTACAGTATTCTTCCATGTATCCTATTGTGTTTGTGCTCCTATCGGCACTTCATTTCAGAGCTTATCTGCTGAAACTTTAGGATCAAGCAGAAGTGTGGCATGACTCACCAAGTGACATTTTGTAAACACTCCTACTCCGAGAAAGGATAAACCCCTTTAAAGTATATATGAGAAAAGATGCATTCAAGTTACTCAATATAAGGGGTTTTTTCATTATTATAGTCTCAGCAGCTGCTGCTGCTACAGATATGGGAGAAATAACCTAATCTATTTCAACAGAGAAATGAGTATTTCTTAGTATGAGACTGACAGAGGTGAATTCTTTTGTCCAAACTTACAAGTGAAAGTTCTAAACTGACGAAGAATTCTGAGCTGCATCTTCTGAAATAAACACCTGGTATTTTTATGTTCAT